TCGTCCGCGTAAGCAGTCGCGGAATTTCATTAGAGTCGAGTCGGGTGATTGGCCGGCGAGTCACCCGGTTTCTTCTCCATCGTCGGTATATATATACAATATGAACAGCAGGAAAAAGGATATGACACGGCGAGAGGTCGGATGCTCGTCACGGTTTCCCGGGGGTAGTGTCTCCGCTCCCGGGCGATCGACCCCTACGGGGGAATCATGCGAGGGGCAAGTCGCGGAGTTGCCGGCGGGTTCCGCAGCCGATATGGCTACCGCTGAGGAAAGGATGGATTGGGGTGTGTATGAGACTCCCGGTCCCAGTACTCGTAGCAGGAGTACACTTCTGGAGCGGCGTAAGCTCACGGAAGTATTAGAGAAATTGCCAGTGTCTACCAATGGCGAATCTCCGAAAGATGAGGACGGTACATTACCTAACAGTCAGGTCACGGCCCTTATAATGAGTGACAGTGAGAACAGAGTCAGTATCGGTTTTAGAGGGCCCGGGCCTAAGTTAATTTCGGACGTGCGTCTCCCGAGGGAACTTAGACTACGTGTCGTGGACGGAGACATTGTAAATTTGCCGGTGACAGCTGTCGAGACGTCGGATGCGCCGATAGTGATCGACAGTTCAGAGACGAGATCAAGTGCCTCTATTTCGGATTCGGTCACGTCGGTCGATGCTGCTGCGGTTGGTGGTAAAAAAAGAGGACGCCAAAGGGGAGCAACGTCCCTGGATCCAAATCCCTCTCAAAGATGAGCGCGACAAGGATGGACGATTATGACGATGACGTCTTGGATCGGCCCAATTTCCTGCAAATCACCAAGAAAGATTGGCGGGCGGGTAAAAAGAGAAAATTGCAGGAATGTCCTCTTGACGATTCTTTGTCGTAAGACAGGCAAAAGATTGCGGTGGATGAAATTACATATCTATTCCCGCAGATGTCTCCGAAGACCATAATGACGGAGACCTTGAGAGTCTTGGATGCCGCAAGTAGCGCGCAAAAAAAGACATCAACCATGAAAGGTGATCTGCACCGACAGATAATCATAGGAGTGGAAGTGGCCAGACAGGTAGTTCAACAACTGGCGGTGAATTCAGCCAGGGCCCAAGAACCGGTTGAAGTAATGAGCGGAAGATGTCTCCAACTAGAACGTGAGATAGCTTCGCTCAAGAGACAGATGAAGATCATTCAGAAGGACAGAGATAGTCTCCTTGAAAAAGTAAAGTTACTGAGGAGAGAGCTTGTTAGTGGTAAAGCATTAGGACACGGTAATCTGGATCACAGAAGAGCGGATCGACAAGTGGCTGGAACCTCACACTCCTCCCCTCTGAGTAGAAGAGTAGCTGAGGATATACCTCCAGCACGCCGCCCCTCTCTGAGGGGAGTCTCCAGAGTAACACCGGAGTATTCCTCTGCGAGAAGGAAACTGGTTGACGAAAGGGGACGTATTGTTCTCTCTGCGGTTAATGGGCAAGAGGACAATCACCAGCGAGAAAAGGATCTTGCTGACTGGCTTCCTTCTTCTGGTCCCGAGAGAGGAGAGCCCTGGGAGACTGTTACGGGGAAGAGAAAAAGGAAAAAAAGGAAAAAGACAATAGATACTTATCGTGGTGGTAGTCGTGTGCCAGTGCGTGCTTCCGAAGTTGTGGCGTTGGATGGCAGTGGTGCGAAAATGGTGAGGAAAGATGTTTCCTTTGCGGTGGCAGTGAGGGGGGCTCGTGGCGTGGCGACGGCTCCTGCAGATTCTAGGGTTCGCCCTAAATCTGGGACCGGATCTGCGATCTTTCCTAGTCGAACGGTTCGTAGAGGAATACGCAAAATCAACTCCGCTGCGGTTCTAATTCGTTGCGATGAGGGAGGCCCCTCATACGCAGAGGTGATGGGCGAGGCGAGATCCAGTGTTTCCCTCGAGGAGTTAGGCATCATTGATACGAGAGTCAGACGTGCTCAAACTGGTGGCCTGCTGGTGGAGATTCCGGGGGAGGATGCTGGTTCAAAAGCTGATTCCCTTGTGAGTCGATTGGATTCCCTCTTCAAAGATCGGACTGGAATCAAGGTGATACGGCCGATTAGAAGATTGGAATTCCGTCTTCTTGGACGAATCCGTCACGATTCGTGAGATTGTGGAGGCTGTAGCAACGCGCGGAAATGTACAATCGAGTGACGTTCGCATGGATTCTCTGAGACCAGATAGAGGTGGCCATAACACCGTTTGGATACAGTGCCCGGACACGTGTGCGGAACAAATGTTGAAAGAATGGACTTCGCATTGGATGGTCCAAGGTACTTGTGGTGCCTTTGGCCAAGCGGAGACTCCAGTGCTACAGGTGCTTCGCTGTAGGACATACAAGGGCTAATTGTAGGAGTGCTGTGGACAGGTGTGCTTTAATGTGCTTTAATTGCGGCCGGGAAGGACATACGGCCATCGGCTGCAAGGCTCCACCTCATTGTTCCGTTTGTACAGGAAGGAATCTGCCTGCTGGGCATAGAGCAGGAGGAGATGGTTGCGTTTCTTACAATAGTCCGATAAGAACAGCGACAGATGAGAAGACTGACATAAGAGACGACGTGCGAGCGGAGAACAGCCCTGCTGTTCGGACGTCTGAGGCTGTTTCCCCCGCGGAGGAGAGGTTGCCGGTTGACGTTCCCAATGGCTAACAACGGACAAATAAACGTCAATCGATCGAGACCTGCGCAGGATTTTATTGCGCGGGTATGCGAGGAGGAACAATGGGACTCGTTGCCGTATCGGAACCTCATTCATTGATAAACAATGGACGCTGGCTTTTCTCGGTAGATGATCCCCCGACGCATTACATGGCAGCATTCCCAAATAGACGTTCGATGTTCGCCTCTTTATAGGGGAGGGACGTTGCGCTTGAATGGGGAGGGATGGTGGTCTTTAGTTGCTACTTCTCCCCCAACCTTGCGGACGTGGATTTTGAAAGGGGATTGTACGATTTGGGTGCTCGAATTCTATTGTGCACTCAAAGACCTTTATTGATTTTGGGTGACTTCAACGCTAGGTACTCTGCTTGGGACTTGGGTGATGCGAACCAGGTAGAGTTCTGTCAGTTTGGGCGGGGGGCTTGGACCTGGTGCTGTTAAACAGTGGTTTCGTGCCCACTTGCGTGCACCCACGTGGGGCGTCATGCGTAGACCTATCATAGGCCTCGTCCTCGGCAGCTCGTAGAGTTAGTGGTTGGCGTGTGGCGGTAGATGTCGAGTCTCTCTCGGATCATCGTTACATCCTTATGAGGGTGCAGGAGAGGATAGTCGGTCTTCTAAAGAGAACTGGGAACAAACACTTCCCACGGTGGAGTGATGGAAGGGTTAATATGGATCTACTAGCGCGGCAGCTAACGTAAAGGCATGGTCCTCTCCTCCTCATGGAGATGTGGCGGAATCCCTGATTGATGGGCTAAGTGCGGCGTTGACAGAGATCTCGGACGTCTCGATGCCGCGTTTGAGAGCCACCGATAGACCTTCGGTTTATTGGTGGAATGACGAGATTACTGAACTCCGGGTTCGTTGTATACGAATTCGAAGAAAATTACTAAGACAGCGTAGAAGGTATCGTGACTCTGAGATGGTCCGAGGTCTCTGGTCTGAATTAAAGGAAGGGAAACAGGCTCTCAGGGGGGCTATTAGGAGGTCGAAGATGAACCTATGGCGGGGTCTTCTCGATACTCTCGATAGGTATCCCTGGGACATGCCGTATCGTATAATGCTCGATAAATTGGGCGCGTCTCGAATTGTCGAGTCTCTCTCTCTAGGAATCGTGGGGGAAGTGATCGAGACGTTATTACCGTCTGATGCGGGGGGATGGATGTTACCGCCTCCCCCGTCCAATGGTCGGGCTCCTGGTCCTGATGGGATCATCGGATGTGTCATCAGGAGTATCAGGAGTACGAGTGACATCTTGGTCAAGCGTTGGATGAGCTGCTTTACGGCCTGTCTCAGGGAGGGGGTGTTTCCATCCAGATGGAAAATGGCGCGGTTGGTGTTGCTCAAGAAGCCGGGAAAGTCTTTTTTTTTTTTGTTAACGGAGGGGAAAAGCCTGACGCATACCCCGGGCCTCGGGGGAGGGCCCGGGGTTATGTGGGGCTTGCACCCACTAAAACCCCTCCGGGTGTCCTTACCTGGCCTTGCATGAGGGACTCCCAGGAACGCGTGCAGCATACATCTGGGAGTGCAGCATACATCTGGGAGAAGCCGGGGAAGCCTGATCGAACGCCGTCGTCTTACAGGCAGATCTGTCTTTTGAACGAGGCAGGAAAGTTGCTGGAGAGGGGTATCAGCAACCGATTTAAGCAGTGTCTGGATGAGTCTAGGGGTATCTCGGAATCTCAATTCGGATTCAGATCGCAAAGCTCTACAGTAGATGCCATTTGGAGGCTTCGTGCGATGGTGGATGATGGGGCGCGGGATGGGGGGGGTGGTGTTGGCTGTGTCTTTTGACATAGCCAATGCCTTCAACTCCCTCCCGTGGCCTGTCATCAGAGATGCGCTAGTGGAAAAGAGAGTTCCGGGATATCTCCGACGCATTCTGGATAGCTCTCTGTCGGACAGATGGCTGTCCTACATAGACAAGAACGATAGGTACACGAGATCCCCTATGATGCGCGGGGTTCCTCAGGGTTCGGTCCTGGGACGTTTTGGAATGTTGGATACGACTCTGTTTTGCGTGTCGGCTTGCCGCTGGGTTGTTCCGTCCTATGCTACGCGGATGATACCCTTTTAGTAGTGAGAGGGCCGTCCTTACGCGAGGTTATTAGGACGGAATTGGGAGCGGCTGTTGTGGTCGGGGCGATCAGGTGACTGGGCCTCGAAGTGTCGACAGGCAAAACGGAGGCCGTGGCATTCATATGGGGGGTACCGAGTGCAAGTATCAGAATAGGGGATGCGAAAATCGAACTGCGCTCGTCGATAAAATATCTGGGATTGGTGATAAACTCTAAGTGGTTCTTTAGAGAACACTTCCGCCGAGTCTTTCCCAAGGCTCTGAGGATGGCAGCGGCCATTGGTAAATTAACGGCCAATATTAGCGGCCCTGGGGAGTGCAGATGTCGGGTATATGCCAACGTCGTAATGTCTGTCGTCTTGTATGGGTCTCCTGTGTGGGCACAGGCAGTTGCGAGGGACCGTACCATTCGACGCGACGCGGGTAGACTACAAAGGCAGCTGGCACTTAGAATTATAAGGGGTTATAAGACTGTTTCCTATGAGGCATCACTGATACTCGCGAGACTGGTCCCGTTTGATCTGATTGCTGATCGTCTAAGGCGATCCTACTTGAGGCGGCGAGCCTACTTCGAGCAAAATGGCTTCATCGCTCACAGGACGATGGGCCTCATTCGCGACGAGGAAACGGAGAGGTCTGTAGTTAGATGGAATGCGCGGCTCGAGGAGTTTCCTCGAAACACACCTGGGGCTGCTGTTCGGGGGGCTCTCGTAGGCAGACTGAGAAGGTGGATGAGGAGGACCCATGGTGTCCTTACTTTTAGGATGACCCAGGTCATTGTGGGTCACGGATGCTTTGAGGACTATCTATACGGGATTAGAAAGGCGGAGACTACAATTTGTCAGCACTGTGCTATTGACAATGCCGTGCATACCCTCCTTCACTGCCCTTCATGGGCGGTGGAGAGAAGAAATCTGTTCGTGGCTCTCGGTCTTGATCTAGATCTAGACCGAGAGTGTAACTTGGTGATTGGGGCCATCATGGGTTCCTCCGAAGCCTGGACTGCATTTGCGAATTTTTGCGAGACAGTAGTTAGAAGAAAGGAAGAGGCGGAGGGGGATCGGGAGAGGAATCAGAGGGAGTTGATACTTCCTCCTGTACCTTCTGTTCCTTCCCGAGTTTCACCTCTTCATAGTGGAAATTTATCATTGTAAATAATGTGTATATATGTATATATAGTTAGGCTTAGTTAATATTAAAGGATGTTCCCGTGCGTGCGGTGGGAGCCATCCCGTTTGCATCGTGGGTGCCCTGAAGTAATACCGGTCGGTAGTTCCGGGGCACTCACATATATGCATGGATGTAATGCTAGGACAAGGGGGAGTTTTTTAGTCGGTAGGCGGCCGTTCCGGTATATTCCTGAGATCACGGGACGGTCGAATCCGGCACACCCAGTGGTGCGGGCTGCTGGGCGTCTTCCCTCCTCCGATAGGTGCTCCTTTCGGATCCCCCTCGGGAGAGTGCGCTGCGAAGATTTTTCTCCTACTACGCAAACAAAAAAAATGGTTATAAATGCACCGAAATCACGCAATAGTAAAAATCTAGGCTTTGTCATCCGAGACTGAGTAACAATTTCATTTTAGAAAACAGGCGCCACGTCGCACTTAAAAAATCGTGAACGCATAGAATAACTTCCAACAGGAGCGTTATCTGAAATCAGACTCGCAACTGACAATGGTACCCCTGCACGCAACCTATTTGTACACGGTGACCATTTGTTTATTTAGCCATATTTTCCGCGAGAATAACAGAATTTGTCATCCGTCTCGGAGCAATCTTGGCTCTTTAAGCTAAACCGTAAATCACTTCTTTTCTTCTCGAAACTACTCTAACTAAATGTACTCTAGATTAACAACGATTAAACATTATAAAAATCGTAATCGTGACATTACAATTAACTTTTGTATCCTAGACAACACCCTTTTTTCGTATAAATAGAGGTCCCACGGAAGCGCAGAGCGTCAGTTGTCACGTCAGCGGTACTTATAAAACTTGTCCAGGAATGTCCCTGGCCAAATTACAAATTTTTCTTTACTTCAATAACCGACGGGGCACTAGAACTGCAGGGACCGCCCCTGACATCTTCTCCCCACCTCACGCGCCCTACCAGCATGGAGGGGCACCTTTTTCCTGAAAGCGTTCGGGTTCTAAAAACGGGACTTGCTCTCGCGAGCAGCGAGTTTTTGAGGAGTAGTTCAAAACTTCCCGGGGTCGGGTCTGGTCGAAGAGAAACGGTCTCTTCCAGAGTATCGCGATTTCTAGTTAAATTCCTAAATTCTACTCGCGTGAGCAATCCAATCTAATCATAGGTACATCTTATTTAATCTTCCTAGTTAACCGCGTCTAATTATTATAAATAGTTATAACATAAGTCTGGATATGTGTGTAGCAACTGCAGAAGTTATAAAATACACTAATTACTTTTGAGCAATTATAAGTACGTATATA